CCCCTCCCCCCCCCCCCCCCTACATTGCAAATATCTGGAGATTTGGAGATTGGGGTATGTATTTGTACATGTCATTTGTATGAATTGAAATTGAAAAATGTAGTGTCAAAATTGAGTCAGATTGGTTGAGGGTGGGGTGTGAATTGTTTCACCCCTGACCATAACATAACAGTTGAAATAATTTGGTCTGAACAAGGCTCTGATCTGATAGATGGTTTCAGTTAATTTAATCAAGTACTATTAATGGTTCATCAATTTATTTGTTGCAGATTCTTCAGTACAAGCAACAAGTCTCACAGATGAAGAAACAGCGCCACCAGGTTGGTGTTTCAACATTATCATTAGCATTTTGTGGCTCATGGTTTTTTTTTTCCATTTTTTATTCATTTTATACTCTTAATTTTATTTCAGATGAGCGTCTTGGTTATCTGGAAGATAAGCACCTGGCTCTTATCGCCAAAGGCATGAGACAGGAATGTAAACAACTGGGCGTCAGACTGGGTCTCAGTTGGAACAGGATCCAACAAATATGGAGTGATAACAGACGATTGACAGAGTCCATAATGGATATGCTTACAGAATGGAGGAAACAACAGAACTATGAGACAAATCAAGTTGAAATAATGCACAGGGCTTTGAAGGATCAGGGACTGGCAGAGCTTGCCAACAACGTTTTTGGCTCACAAATGTTAGACAGTCAGTCATCCAGTTTAAAAACAGTTAAAGTACATCCTAGTCGACAATTACATCCAAGACACCAGAAATATGAAGGTAGGTAATTTATCCTTGAAAGTGCAGTCTATCAGAGCAGATTAATTGTCTCTTTGCCTTTTTTTTCTAATAAAAAGTGATGATAAAATTGAAGGTACCTATGAGCTATTTTGTCCATTTACTTAATTATCCTGATTTTCACAAAATATTTTTTTTAATTAAGTATTTAATATTGTCAAAATAACATCATTACTATTGTATTTCATTTTTAGATGTAATTTTCAAAATGTTCCATAAAAACAAAAGAATTATACAACATCTTCCAATTTGTAAATATGGTGCATTCTACCAACCTCTGCCAGTTACTTCTGTCATGGCCGAGTTTTTAATATCGATGTCTACTTTTGTTTAGGATACTTAGCAGACATCGATATGCAATTTATTGCGGAGGAGCTTGGCAAGGAATGGAAATCCTTTGGCAGCATCATTGGTCTGAAGGAAGCTGAAATAGACAGAATTGAGATGGACTTTTCACCACCAACTGTAGACGCAAGTCTAGAAATGCTGGTCAAGTGGCGAGAAAGGCAGAACACTGAAGTAAAACACCTTGGAGAGATGTGTGATGCATTGGAAAAACTTGGTAAGGCAGCTGTCGCTAAAGCACTCAGGAAGTACTACCAGGAAACTTGTAAACAATAATGCAAGAACATTTGTAGGTACACATTGGTGCTGAAAATTTCAGAAGACAGTTACACACTGATTAGGCCAGGGGCCAGTTCCTTCACTCCTTTCAGTGAGAGCAGGGCCCAACCACTGCAATTACGATACTCAATAGAGTTTAATGCCACAGCAAATAATGACACCAGAAGATGTGATATGATGTATAGGAAGTAAATGATGTGATATATTATACAGTATATATAGGAAATACATGAGTTAGTATTGTACATTTTGTAAATATAAAGATATATAAAATATATTATTGTTTAACCATAGAATCATATTTTTATGACGGCCAATTTGCTTACATGAATTATATATTTTTTTGTATATCACAATAATTAAAATACATTTATAATATAATGCAATTATAAATTAACTTCCTATTTCATATTTATATATTATTGTATATTTTGTAAATTGTAAGCTTTAAATAACCTATTTTTGATAATGAAATGCCAAACATTTTTTATAAGATTTTTAAAATAATTTTAGAATGTCGTCTTTTTTTTTTAAGAATGAAAAAGAACATCTTAATTTAATTGAAATTTTTTTGATTACATGTTTGTGGGCGTTCTTTAGTATGCCTGGACTGAACGTACATTCAGTGGGATAAAAATGATGGACAGTGCTACATATATTGGTTCCTGTATATTTAAAATACCACAGCCTTCCAAATCATTCCAGTAGAATGCAGTTTTCTTTCACTATAACTTTTATTCAAAAACTATAGTTCAACTGAATACCATTTACTGTAGTTCAAAAATGCTACACAAGGCAGGCCCGTATCCAGAGGCTGGGATAGTTGTGTTGCTCCACATTTTCAAGCCAGTTGAAAATGTACCGAGGGAAAATAAAACCAGTAATCTATGAGTATCCGACAACGCCCTACAATACCAAAGGTGTGATCCAACTGGCTCTTCCCCTTGACACTGTCAGCATTTCTAAGCGATACCCATACCCCACCTGGTCCATTTTTGGCTATCCTGGCTACGGACCAAAATGGTCAAATACTCGTCTCCGGTTCAAACTGTAACAGGAAACATTGATTTCGCAAAGTATGAACTGTTGTCTTATTAGTTATTGTGTGTATAGTATTTTCAAGATTATAATTATTATTAATAATTCTTTATTCGTCCTTATTCTACTTGGAAATTTGAGCTTGTCCTCTGGGGACCGGCATCGCCCGACTTTATTATTTGAGATGGCCAATTTTAATTTATTACCATTTTTATCTATTGAGGTTTTCTTTCTATTAAATTTTTAAATTACATAATTAGGTTTTATTTTTGCAAAATGCAATTTTTTAAATAAAATTGAAATTGATAAATTGATTGAATGTCTATTATTGTGCTGTAAGTTATGGCGTTCGTTTCTGTACAGTGTTGCTAGCCAATCTGTAGATATGAGGGAGCGTTTTTTGAGGCAGGTTTATACATGCCCAGTTAGGCTAGCAGGGGTTGTACCACTGGGGCCAGGATGTGACAACTTCCCCCTCCCCTCTCTACCCTACGGGAAGCAAAAAGCACAATTAGTTGGAGAGAAATTGCGTTGTTGAACTCTTAATCTGATTGAATATGGTTTTCAAATCCATAGTCATATCTTCCAGGGATTTGGCAGGAATTTTTGTTTGGCGTTCGTTATAAACTCTCTTAGGGACATTTCGCCTACCCTCTTTGGGCAAATCACCCCCTATATACGACTTAACAGAAATGTACATAGAGATGTTGACAAAAATCTTACTGCAAGTATTGTTTTTTTTTTCACGTGAAAGTTATGTTGAGTTGCTAGATATTTACGGAAGAGCTGGGATCGCACGGCCCTCACTCCAATTCCCCTCAATTGATATCCTCCCAAAATTACTTTCTTCTGCCCCCATCGGATCCTCCTTCGGCTTCCCACCCACGTCAATACTCCTAGATGTGTTTCCCGTTCCTTTGTTCGAGCCACCTAGGCAGAGGTCCGGGATTGTGCCAGGGTGGTGATGGACGGTGACCCCGAAGAGTATTTGCATCTTATTTTGCCTATCTTTCCCATCCATGTCTGGTCCGACACAAATAAATATATGTTAAGATTAAATAAATAATTTAATTAATTAATTCACATAATAATGCGGAAAATGTCTACATGTACACTCGGCAGGTGGAAAACGGTGCCGCGAACACCCCTACTAGGGATGGATACGTGCGCCTAACAAAATGACATTATTATTATTATTATTATTAGATACACTACTATAACACGGAGAACTAGTTTAAGTTACAAGAATGATGGCCAGTGATAATGTTGACAATCATGATGATTACGATGATGATTTCATGCTCAAAACAGAAAATCATTTAACAGGAAATTACAGGGAAAATTTACATAAAATATTAAACTATTCACAAAGACAAAAAGAAAATCATCAAAAAGTATTAAGAAATCAGACAGTTCATACAACAAAGAAAAAATAAAGGCACAGTTTAAAATTTAAAAGAAAGAAAGATATCTGCCATCATACAAGGAACCACATGAAAAACGAGAAAATAACACTAATAAAACAATAACTGATAAGGTCAGCGAGAGCGTTGGATGACCCTTTAAACCGAGAGGTTTGTTTCCAAAGGGTCCAGGAAAAAAAACAATTATTAAACATAAATTTAAGCAAAAGTAAATAAATATGTAAATAAAGTTATAGAAGTACTGTATATATTTTATGAAACAATAATCCAAGCATCTTAATCTAAGGAAAGTTTCAGTTGCCGCTGGTACAAATACATTTTAACTTTGTTTTAAAGACACTTTTGATACAAATAGCCAGCCCTGATGTGTGGGTAAACTATTCCATAAATGTATACTGTTATAACAAAAAGCGGTGATATAAGTGGGGGTTTTTTGTAGTTAATTTCGAAATCAGAAATGCTGCCCCTTGCAAAATGTGGGTGTCTATCGGAAAACTTTCTAAACCCATAATCTGGTTGAATACCATGATATATTAAACATATGATTAAGTTGTAGTTATTATTATTATATACTGGATACTGCTTCTGTAGTAGTAGAAACTTCCTACAGGTGCAATCAGTCCTCCTTCATTTGAGGCCATTTTCTCTTGTCACTTGCGAGCATCCTTAGCTCCCCTAGTTTCTTGCTCGTTCTGAGAGTTCCCATCTTTGCCTCCTTGAGGTCTGCTCGCAGCGTACTGAGTAAGTTTGTACAATGACGCCCTTTGCGAGCTTGGTACTTGTTGGATCCAACTATAGCAAATTCTAGAGCTCTTTGTGCAGGTGTGTTCTCTGGCATTCGTAGCACATGTCCAAATATGGACCACCATAATTGGGCCACTTTAGTTGACAGAGGAGTAGTGTTGCACATGCTGTATAAAGTATCATTTGAAATGAGGCTGTGTGACCATCGGTGACCTGTGATAGCACGGAGGTGTTTGCGGTGGCAGGCATCAAGTTTATCCATGGCTACCTTTGGAGCTGCCCAGCTGTTGCAATTGTACATCATTATTGGCACGCAGGTAGCACTGTATAGACGTAATTCTTTTTCAGAGGAATTCGTGACCTGCGGATCCAAATCTTCCAGAAAGACTGAAAGGCAATGTTTCCCATAATACATCGTGTTGTAATATCAGATGAGCTACACAACATAATAATAATAATAATAATAATAATAATAATAATAATAATAATAAAAACTTACTGTAATCGTAAAATTGATTAGTCTTAGTCTTAAATTTAAGTTAATTGAATAAGATTAAAAATCATTCAGCAATTTAATACTCTTAGTAAATGTTTTGTAATTGCATTGTATTAAAATGTTTTCTTGAAATAATTTTGCAAATATCGAGAGAAAGTTAATTCCAAATTAAACATATTATTAGATCTTGTGCTCATACAGTAGATAAATAACAATTTAGCGTGCGAGCTGTTTGATTATAAAAATACCGGAAATAACTTTAAGAACATAAAGCTTATGGAGTTTATATACCGTAAATGCTCGAATAAGTTTATATACATAAAGAATTCTAAGTTCGTAAAATAGAGGGGTAAATGTCTCTAAAAAACTGAAAAAGTTATACATACTAGCGATCATTCTTTGAGGAATTCAAGATAGGAGTTCGGTATGACACAAAAGTACTTCCCCCTACCTCAATTCCATAAATAATATTTGGATAAATGAAAGGATTATAAAGCATAACTAATGTTTTCATAGGAACAAAATGTTTTGATCTAAACATAATTCCGGATTTTTTAATGATTTTTTTCATTAATATTTTGAATGTGGGCTTTCAAGGTGAGAAATTTTACAAATTCATTTGACCAATCTCTGCCGGCCTTGCTTAGTTACGCCGGCTTGCACTGTTGACAGGTTGTGAAGTGGCCCACAATGTTTCAGCCCAGGTGCGAGCATTTCATGGTTTATCAATTAAATAAATATTGCGGCCGCCTCCATTAATATTGATTGTAACATTAGACCTGATTTACCAAGATACAGGCCTACAAAAAATAAACATATAAATTTAAAATAAAATTTAAAAAAAAACAACAACAACTTAATACCAATAAAAAATGTAGAAAGCTCATAAACAGCTCATAAGCAGTAAAGTTCAATACATAAAGATCCAGAGTGGTTGTGATTTGTTTATTTCTTGATTGAAAATGATAAAATTTGTTTTATCAATATTGATTGTCCATTTATTATTATTACTATTATTATTATTATTATTATTATTATTATTATTATTATTATTATTAACATATTTATTCAGGATACATATTCAATGAAAGTAAATGTACAATTGTAAAATTGACAAAGCATACTAAAACTTATCTACCATATGGTCCTTATTAAAACAACAATTAAATATCAATAAAATTTACAATTTTTAAAACAAGGACAAATGAACACAATACTTGAAATTACAATAAAATACCAACATGGAAAGTAATTCAATTTAAAAATGTCAAAAAGTATGTGTTTTAAAATTTGATTAAGATTGTAAAGTGTATTAACAAATCAATGTAAATATAAAAAACATTCTCACATTGGTAATAATTCACTTGGCCCCTGTCGTGGACAGATGAAGGTGCGCCGGTTTACTGGCTGCAGAGGACATAAAGTGACCCTCAGGAGAGGAGAAAGTTATTGAAAAGTGCAACATCTAGTCCCGAGCACATAGAGACCTCGTTTATTTGCGATATATAAATCCATCTATTATTATTATTATTATTATCATTATTATTATTATTATTATTATCATTATTATTATTATTATTATTATTATTATAATTATTACTACTACTACTCTACTACTACTACTACTACTACTATTATTATTATTATTATTATTACTATTATTATTATTGTTATTATTGTATTATTATTATATATATAGATATATAGATATATAGATATATATATATATATATATATATAGATATATAT